GGGGGGGGGGAATGCTCTGTGTACGGAGCACTTCCTCACAAAAGTCTTACCGACCCCTTGCTGTAGGGGGTCGGTCCCACATGGAAAAAAAAAATTATGTCGGGGCCCGCACATGTGTGTTATCTGGTAGGGGTCTGCAAAACTGACCCTGTACGTGCAACATGCTCCATTTTGGGGAAATGAAAATGGATGGAGTAGCGTTTTTTTGAAAAATGTGTAGTTGAAAAAGAAAAAAAATATTTCAGTTTACGTATAATATTATTTTATAGAAGATTGTGTGATTGAAAATAGGAGAGAGGAAAATGAAATGTAATAGAATTGAAATTAATGTGGTCAAACAGGGGCAATATGAGCTGGCATTCTTTTCAAAATTGTGTTTGAGATGCATTTTAGAATAATAACTTGATGAGAAGTGTGTGGTTGAAAAATAAAGATTTTTTTTTTATTTACGTGTAATATTATTTTAATAAAGAATGTGTAGTTGAGAAAAAGAGAGAAAAAATGCATTTTGAAAAAAATGGGTAACGGGGCTGTCTCTACATATGAACTCGAAAATGGTTTTGAAATTAATGAAAAAATATAACAAACAGTACACTTCTTTTTCTTAACATTATTATGGTATCTAGTTCATGACAATAAATTCAAATGACACAGCAGCAATAACTTTTTGAGAATTTCACAGAACGTCACAGAATCCAGACTTGCCAACGGCAAGGTGCATATTTGCGCACATGTCGTGTTCGGTTTAACAATATCAGGCCCCAGCTTTACTAATAGACCTTAGTTCTTGAAACAGTCAAAACAATTACAATTACGATGAATTAAACATAAATGCAACTGGAAAAACAATAAAAAGCTGATTGAAACAAGAATAAACCATAGATCTTCACAGTACCAAACATCCATTATGATAAATTAACCACAAATGCAGCTGAAGAACAACAAGAAAATGGTCTGAAACAAGAAAATTTAACTTACATGGCCTCGCAAATCGATCCAATGGTCCGGACATCGCTACTTTTGCCAACCAACACTTCTCAAACTCTTGATGATCGATCGTTAGATGGATCGACCAATCAATCAAGTTTTAACCGATTCTATGTAGTCCGTTTACTGAAAACAAATCTTTCATTCAGTTAAAAAAAAAAAAAAAAATTAAAACCCCAAAACTTTCAGAAATTGAAATTTCAAATGGATATGTTTACGTAATGAACCTTCGAAAATATCAGTAACGAAAATTTGATTGATCTGATGATAATATGCGCCTCAAAATTCGTAAAGGCACAAAAAATTAGGGAATAAATTCTGTGGAATAAAGTGAAAAGGCCAAAAAGAAAAAGGGGATTATTGGAAATAAATAAATTATATACAAAAAGGAGAAAAAATAGAAAAAGTGTCCCCGAAATTGACGGCAGCGATTTTTAAGAATAAGAGGATCCGTGTTAGTATCAGACGTGGCAATGTAACAATGTGTGGATAGAATAAGGAATCCAAAGTGGAGAGTTAAAAAAATAATAATAATAAATAAATAAATAAAAATTCACTGGAGTAAACTTACTTATTAATTTGATTCAAATTAGTCACTCAATTTTTAAGTTATTTCAATTTGGTCATCAATTTTATATTTTCATTTCAAATTAATTAATCAATTCATAATTTTGTTTCAATTTAACCATTCGACACATGCTATTCGACACCATCAAGGCTCGCCTCTCCATAACGAAAAATGCTCGAGCAAAAAAAATCGAAAAATCGATCAAACCAATCAAATCGATAATTGGTTTGGTTTGATTTTCTATCAGACAAAATTATGGTAGGTTGGTTTGATTATGGTTTGAAATCTCGAACCGTTGGTTAACTGAACCAATCCAACGCACGTACATATTTACCTTTTAAAAAAAAAAGCCATATCTCATAAATATATCTCGATTCCCTCAAATCTATAATATTGTGGGTAAGTAATAACACTGAAAATTTTCTTTCACAAGCTCATTATATTATACTTAATATTTTTTTCCCTACTTAGGCAGTCGAGTAACATAATATATGAAAAACCAGCAAAATTCTTAAACTTTCCATTGATCTTATTACCTTGATTGTATTTGTTAATCAATAATTTTTATAATATAAAGTTATTTAATTATTTTAGTTCTTGTAATTTAAATAGGCTCAAAACTTGAACAATTTAAAAAAAAAAAATTCATTTTCGACTAAAAGTCCAAACCGACTAAGCAAACTGAACCAAACCAAGTCAAACCAATTTGGTTTGGTTCGATTCGGTCTAAGAGCTAGAGTGGGTAGAATTGGTTTACCGACTAATTTGATTTTGATTTTGATTTCGAGTTGGAGTCGAATTCAATCCAAATCAAACCGCATCCAAACCTAAATGAAAGTGTAATATGTGGTAACACGAATTTACCGTGCATAGAAGAATTGTGTTATTAAAATACAAAAGTTAGGTTATCAATTATGTTGGCTAGATTATGAATTTTTTTAAAGCTTCGATAACATCTATGGACTGAATAATTAACTTGAAATAAAAATTAAATCGACCTATTAAACTAAAATAAATTGAAAAATCAGTGCAGTAAAATGAAAATGCCAACAAGAAAAGGGGGTTTTCTAAAATAGGTAAAGAATAATTAGCACGTAATGTACTTACCTTTCACTATTATTGTGAAAAATGTCACCACCTTCTATTTTTTGATATTTTCATCCTTAATTACTTCTTTAATTGTTCAAACCATAGTTATTAAAATCGGCCCCGCCCGGACGGTCGGTCCGATAAACCGGTGACCCGGGCCCTTGACCTGGCGGGGCCAGCTGATTTTAAATAGTTGCAAGGGCGGTTTTGAATTTTTTGGGCCGGTTCAGCCCGATTCGACCCAATTGATTTTTAAACTAAATTTCAAAACTCTTTTACATTGAAATTGTAGGTACCAAAAATTTGAACCCTTGATCTTTAAGTAAGTAAAACATAACCTTACCACTAGTGCAAGCAACACTTTATCATCTTTTGTTTAATAAATTATATCTAACCTATGAATAATTTGTTACTTTTAGAAACTTTTTTGAAGCAAATAATTATTTATATACTTATTTTGTTTGAAAAAAATAATTTTAACTAAGATAAATTGAATAGATAATGCACAAAATTTTTGTCAATAACTAATAAATAATTTGTAAATCACAAAAAGGGAAAAATATATTTTTTAATAAAAAATACAAAATTTAACCATTATCATTGATAAATGAGTTCAAAAAATCATTAATTTAAATGTATAGAAAAATTAGTGACAAAGAACTTAAAAACTTTAATTTTGTCTCAAACAAAAAATTTAAAATAAAAAATTATTAAATTATTTTTAAGTAATGACCCACCCACCGATTCGACCATCGGTTCAACCAGTAACCTAGTGACCTGGTACCTTGACCGGGTCGATATCCGAGTCGGGTCTGATAACTATGGTTCAAACCATAATTTCTATTCAATTTCATCTAATTTCTTAATAAAAGTTGTGAAATGACGAATATAACCTTTGATTTAAATAAGAAAGTTTTTTTTTTAATTTCTAATTTTTAATAATTTATTTGGTACTCGTTTGTACTTTTTTAATTTTTAATAATTTATCTGAGACTTGTTTGCACTTTTTAAAAAGTTAGAATTATGGTTGTAATTAATTCTTTATTTTTATTTTTTAATTAAAATATGAGGGCATATTTGTCATTTCATAGCTTTTATTGAGAAATTGAATGAAAATGAATAGAAATGATGGTTTCGACAATCAAATGTGTATTTAAAGATGAAATTGCTAAAAAATGAAAGATATGGAATTTTTTATAATAATAATGAAAGGTAAGGATATTAAATACTTAATCATTTTTCTAATTTATTTAAGACTCATTTGCACTTTTTAAAATTTTTTGAGACCATGACTGCAATTAGTTCTCTCTTTATTTAAATAGAATGATATATTCATCATTTCACTATTCTTAATTGAGAAATTAAATAAAAATGACCTTTAACACAATGAGATATAAAAATGAGAATGAAAATATCAAAAAATGAAAGATAGAAATTGTATAAAAATGACCATTAGTACAATGTGATGTAGAAATAAGAGTGAAAATACCAAACAATGAAAGATAAAAATATTTTTCACAATAATAATGAAAAGTAAGAACGTGATGTGCTATTTAGACATTGGCAAATTATTCAAATAGATATCAACAGTGCATAATAATATAGCCGAATTTGAGCACGCGCTTTTACGGAGGACCAGGGATCGTATGCCATCTGGTGGTGTAACGCGCATGCGGACAAAAAGGGGAAGTCAGAATTCGAGTTTTAACTGAGATCGTGTTTGTTCTTTTCGTTTAGGTCTTATAAGTCAATGCATGTGAATTTGCCCATCTAGGAATAATTAATTTATGAGACAATTAGGCCCATTTGGTGTGATTTTTGTATTTTTTTTTTTGGGTAGAAAGTTACATTAATTTTTGTTTGAAAGAGGCCTTTTTTAAAATTAGTCAAACGAGTTCAAAAGTAATTTTTGAGTTTCAAAAATTCCTCTTCACTTTTGAAAATCATGTCAAATGTACCTTTAATCTCCTGTGAATTTCTATATAAAGAAAATTAAGCATAAAACTTCTTTTTAAGTTTCTTATAAAAAATTACTGCAATTATCAAACGAGTGACACTTGAGGTTTTTATTTAATTTAATTTTGAAGAGTAAGACCAATAAGAAAGTAGGTAAAAATCCAATCAATACCTAAAATAGCTCAATTATCCCTCTCAATTTCAACATCAAAACATAGAATTAGAATTCCAATTGAGAACCTTAATACCATGAAAACTCAAGAAGAACAAGATCATATTTGTATCTTCACAAGTTGTGAGATATTGATTAACGGTCACATGTGATCCTGATGTGCCTACCTTCGTATGAAGATGTTGGGTTAATGTTTTTATCGAAATGTGTACTAGTTTCTTATTTTAGAAAAGGAGAGCTTTCCTTTACCATTGTTTTTGACATATAAAGTTGATATATAATCTAAACCCTTAAATTTAAACTAATTGAATTGTTTCCATCAATTGTATTAAAACTCTTTAAAATTTATATCTCCATATTCAAATATACCCTAATTACCTTTTCAGAATCACTAACCATTGCCTTATTCTTTCTCATCGATAATTTCATCACCATCTCCTATCGAACCACTAGCAATTGGCATTCGATCTATTGATTCTACAAGTGTACGGATTTTGACTAGTAATAAAGTAAATTTTGAGTTCAAGTATCGTACCAACATGATTAAGATTAATTTACTACTTATTTTATCTAAATTTAGCGTTAACCAATTGACTAACTAGATTGAATACAGTAAAAATACCTATTATATTTAAATTATTCTCGACAGTATTTTCATTTATTCAGACAAAAAACATAGGATTTTCCTTATTTGGTGTGGGTCCAGCTAAAACTGGGCTGAGGACAAACAAATGCAACTTAAGCCCATTTTAAGAGATTAAGTATCACACATTTTAAAACTAAGAAGAAATGTTTCAAATTTAAAAAATAAGATATTTACTAAAATTTATTTATAATTTGATTAATTAATTATATTTTTATTAATTAAATATATTAAGGTTACATATATATACAATTTGGTCACAAATTAACTATTACTTAGTTATATATTATTTTTTGATCACAAATCATAATTTTTATATGTCACAAATTTTTTTATATTTACAATTCAAAAATTTTATAGGTCACAATTTGTTCATCGATCACAATTCAAAAATTTATAATTCACAATTTATTTATTAGTCATAAATCACAAATATTATAAGTTGCGACTTATTATACAATCACAAATTATCAATCACAAATTCACAACTTTTTAAGTCAGACATTGTTTATTGGTCACAATTTATCATTTTTATTAGTCATATATTATTATTGTCACGAATTAATCAATTTAATAGTCACATTCAATCAAATAATTTGTAACCACCACCAAGCCACATCTCACCACTGCCTCCAATAGCATCATCACAACCATTGTCGCTAGAACCACCATCCCCAACATAAACAAATCAACCCATTGCAGAATCTGCAAACTCACAAACAAAAACAATAGAACTCACAAACCAAAACAGAAATAAAAATCTGGCTCCACCTCGTCACCATGCCAACACTGCTTCACAATCTGAAAACTCATAAACAAAAGTGGAAACCAAAAATCTGGCACCACCTTGCCACCACGCCAATACTACCTCACAATCTGAAAACTCACGGACAAAAACAGAAACCAAAAATCGTGCACCACCTCGCCGCCACACTGTCATTACCGACACAAACAAAAGCAAACTCCAAAAAAATCAGGTGTACCAAGAATCACAGCCACCATCTCCTCTATCATCACACCACACCATGAAAAAAATACGACTAGATCTCCTCTATCGTCACCGTTGTCGCTAACACCATGACCAGCTCAAATCTATCATCTCCTTCACCGCTACCACACCGCACTAGAACCATTAGTGCAAGGGCGGAGCCAGGAATTACTATAATGGTGGGCTAAAAATCTTAAAAATTAGATACCATGCTATTAGATACTCGCCATCACGGGTCGCCTTAATTCTAGTAGTCGCGATTTCAAACCTCATATCCTGTATCAAATTCGCTCTTCGCCCTTCTTTGATAATCTAGAAGTAGACCCAAAATGAAACGGCTCGCTTACAATAACTTACCAGGAGCAAAATTAACATCAATATTAATCTCTTTTAAACTTTCAAAAGCATCTTAGCATTTAGTAAATTAAAATGAAATAAAGTCAAAAACCAACCTTTATCCCACAACTAATTAAAAGAAGACAATATGTTTCAAATAACCATTTTAAGCATCAAGCCACCTCTAGTGATCGATAATATTTCAAATTTGATACGAAAAAGTCTGCATTTTACCAAGAAAGAATAGTTCACAAAAGGAAAGGCAATCCATTGTACCAAGATTTTTATGGAGAAATCTGGATGCGATTACTCACCAATCACCCTATTACTAGTAAAACCTAGCACAAACAACTGAAGAAATCTTTAAATAAATGTACATAAAACACATAATTATTCTTGAAAAATTACTCTACATTGAATCCTATATAAAAAAAGGGCTTTAGTAAAACTAATTATTCAAAATACACAAATTCAATTTAACATTCAGATTTGAAAAAAGGGTCACGGACTCACCGTCACTCACTACAGTCAGTAGGACGTAGGCTGGCAGTGAGTCGACAATCGACGGCTCCATTCGGTGCGGTTACGGGCAGGGGGAAAGTGAAAAGATTTAGGGATTTTGATTTTTGGGAATTTTTTGAATTGGTTTTGCAAAGGAAAACGGGAATGACCGAATGAAAAAGAAAAGGGGATTATGCAAGTAAATCAGAATAAGAAAATGAGTAATGGACTAGCTAATGGATATTATTATTGGGCCTAAAATTATCTAGAATTAGTGGGCTACAGATTAAAGATTTTTTTTTTTAGGTGGGCTACCCACTAAATTTACTTGTTGGGGGGCTAATGTGATTTAATTGAATACAATTCAAACCAATTTGTTTTTTTTTTTTTTTGTTGCATCTGGGCCTGGTTGACAGTGGGCTGCAGCCAAGTGCAGCCCACCATTGAATCTACCTTTGCATCAGTGGCTCCTTGTTGCAGCAACGCACATGGTGACAATACATAGCGGTGGTTCCGCACACTATGGTTGTAGCATCGCACTCAATGGTCATGTGCAGCGGTGCAACTGTCACTACAAGGTGGTGCCGCTCTCACATCGTTGTTGGAATAGAAAGAGAGGGTGGTAGAGAGAAGAAGGGGAGAGAAAGGAGGCGATGAAATGAATTAGGCTTTGGAAGGGTGAAAGTGTGGGGATGGATGGGGGTGTAGTGGGGTGGTCTGTGTAAATTAATTTAATTTTATAATAATATTACTAAATTGAAAAAATAAATTATTATTTGATTTTTGAATAGAAAATCTCCAAATCTTATTTTTGAATTGGGAACTTAAAATCTATTGGTGGGTGTAATTTCCACTTTTCAAATTAGTCCCATATACCGTTACTTAGACGACGTTCAAATTCCGAGAAGGTTTGAGACCTATTTTAAGAATATATTTTGTAAATTAAAAAACGCAGAAATTTTTTAAAATTTAGTGCAAAATTATATTATTGAGAAAATGTATAGTTAAAAAATGAGTTTGAAAACAAAATAATTTTTAAAGAATTGTCTCAAACGGGGGCTCAATTTTATTTTAGATTTCATCTTTAGCGTTTCATACTATTTACTGGCAACTACTCAATACACAAAATTTGTATAATAGATGATAGAGAAATTTGAATTTAGGATTTGTGTTTATTCTAGTACTCCATTAGATAATCTCATTTAAGAATTTAAGTTATTAAAAGAAATAATTTATTTATTTAGATTGTATATTCAACTATATGTATAGTTCCGTTTAAAATTTTAAAATAAAAAAACTATGTGTTACAGGTCTCACAGCTTTGTATCCCTTATTTTTCAAGAAATTTTTGATAAATTTGACGTGTAGTATTCGATAAGAGTGTACAATATAATATATAACATTTTAAGTTCCTTTGGTACCATTTAGTACATGCTAATCAATGCTCACCAAACAAGCTTTTAGGATAAACAATGTTATACTTTCGGCTTATGTGGACACCATGTAGAAGTAAGAAAACAGTCGAGAATATCGTGTAGACCAAACCTCTTTAGAGAAGTTCACCTTGACCTAGTGATAAGGAGAACCAACCTGGGAGGTTCATGTAAGGATGATCCTAGGCTAAATGAAGGGTTGGTTCAAACTCTAGTCACCTTACCAATCAAGCGAATGGTGAACCATTGCATCCGGATGAACCCTTCTTTCCCTCTTTTCTCTAACACTCAGATTATGAATCTAATAGGAGGGCTCACAAGATCTTTCTAGATAAGGCAAAAGTCCCCCAACACCATTAAACATCACATCAGACCTTTCTCTAGTTCGAAGGATCCGCGTGATAATTTGACGTTCCTATTATATACTAGGTGAGGAATCATTTTCAATTACGTAATAATGACTACAAGAAGTACAAAATCAAAGATATGATAGTGATAAGGTCAAAGCCTACTCACAAGTGTTAAAGGTTAAATACCCTGTCTCTAATTCCTCTATAAATACTCAGAACTTGCAACAATAAAATGTAATCAATATGTCTCTCTCTTGTACTCGATTTTTCCTTCTGGTGACTAATTTGTCCGTCATATTGCAAACGATTATGGACCATCACATGTAGGTGGATAGCGAAGCGCCAGACCTGTTAACACTTGAATCGTTCTGATTTAGAGGTCAACAAACATGAATAAAATCTTATAATTCACAATTTGGCATAATTCCCTCCAATTATATGAGCGTGTTTGGGATGTTGTATTAATGGATGATATAATATAATATAATAACAATGATTTGAACTTTTTTCATCTAATACCGTTGAATTTAGTTATTCAATAAATCAAATAATAATGTTGCACTAAACATAATCAAATGCTAGGCCACGTAAAAATTAGTCGAAATTTGAAATCGCCAATAAATGGAGTGTGTGTGTGTAAATTATTATAAAAAAATAATGCTAGTTTATACTTTATTGTGTCAAGATCGTTTACTTAGGTCTTCTTTTGAGACCAATATGGATGCTCTTAATTTAAGGGAAGCGGTCCCAAGACTCCTAACGCCACTTTTACTTTTAGAAAAGAAATTAAATATGATTTAATAATTTAGAAAAAAGAAATATAATCTAATATAATATTTGAAATGTGATAGTGCTACTCTTTGTTTTTCCACCACTGTCATTTCAATGGTATTTGGTGGGTTGTACTTTGTCGTTTTGGATAATTGAAGGCACTAATCTTCCACAAAACCTATTTTAAGCCAACTTTTTTAATTTAATTTGTTGATAAAGCTAAGAAAAGACAAACCGAACCCTATTCTTCAAACCTTTATTTGTTCCATGGCCAAACCCTAGCTTGAGCACCATTTTACCTCTTCCCTTGACGTCTTATCCAATGAAGAATTCACCGAAAAACTTAAAAGAAAAAAGGTTCATTTTGCTTAAAATATTTATAACACATAAGTCAAATTTACTTTTTAAGGTCAAGAACTTGTAATGATGCACGAAACAATCTGACAATCAGGAAATGGTTAAATTTGAATGAGTCAAAAAGGGTTAAAGTTAAAAATTTTTAACTTGCTCTCTATATTTTGATGACAATTCTATCCATTAGTATCTAATGGGATACGGTTGTCATTTCACAACCTAAACTTGTTAAGATTTGATTAGTTCACAAACAATGGACATAGACGGATCTATAGAAGTTTGAATTTAATGTTTAGTTAGCAACGATTCGAGAAAATAATTACTAATCCATATAGTAAAGATAGTCGATCATTTGTAGACCGCTCATAGTACCCTTGAATGAATACCCCAAAAAGATGAAGTCGATGGTGTACAACTTGACAAGGCAAAATCCCTATAACATCTCATGGAACCATCTATCAACACATATTTGAAAATATAATTGTGAATAGAATGTAGAAGTGAGAACTGCTTTAACCAGCGATATTGAAAAGACTACATATTCAACTCTTATCGACAATAGAGTTCTTCAAATGTTATGCGACACTAATGTTCTTATGGTGAACTTGTTCAAATGTTCTAATAATGCCCTAATTATAGTGCTTATTATGAGGGGCACCATATATGTTAATGATTAAATCAAGGGTCCATTCTTGATTTAGTGTTGCATTAATTAATATATTAATCCCACTAACTTCTTAGACTTAGTGCCCGGACAACAGTAAAGTGGTGTCTATCACCTTTACATTTTGAATTATTTAACTAAAAGGCAGAAAAGATAGCATTCTTTAAAATAAAATATGATTTCTATTTATCTCTTTAGCTTTTATTAGCGTAAATTGTTGGGCAAGTGCAACATATATTATAGAAAGGACTCATTAGTGTTTGTGTTTCTTTTGTGTAAGCAAAAAGAGAGCTTCAAATTATTTCTTACAAAGAGATTAAAGTTTGTTCAAGAACATGGGTTTCTTGCTTCTCAAGAAGATTAGTCTCCTCTTCCTCCTAATTTCTGCATCACTCTTGTCAATTTCCTTTGCAGGTAGATTCAATAGAAAATCCTTTTGTCAATCTCTTTTCAAAGAAACTCGTTTTTCTCTTAAAGTTGTTTTCAAATTCGAGTGTGAGCGTTTGAGAAAATGTATTGCGTAAGTTCAACCTATGCATAGGACGTTTTCTAGTAAACTTCCTCCGAACTCCTCTAGTCCTTTAGTTTCGTCGCAGGGAAAATTAATGAAGCATAATCATTCCTTCTCTAATTTTTACTCTCCTAGAAATAAAATAATTTATTTCGAGGAAAAAATAGTTTTATCTTGCAATACATAGATGGTCATGGAATGGAGAGACATATGATTTGATTTCTTGAAATTCTTCACAATTTCATTTTTGCTGCATGATTGCATGCATAACGTTGGAATGCCGAAGCCCTTTTCTTTTTTGCTTTGGACCTATGTTTATTTTCTGTGTATTCTCTTTTTACTGAACAATTTTTTGGAAGTTTGTAAACCATAAATCATAATCATAATCAAATCCCGAAAACACTTTTCTAAGTTTTTTTTTTATTTACCACAGAATGTTTCATGCTCAATTCTTAAATGTTTGTCTATGGTGTAATTATGCTCAATTATGTCCAATTGAGTGTACCAATTATGTAAATTCAATTCTTGATTTTCTCGATTTTTTCACGCAGGTCGACTGCATAGGTCAGTGAGCAAATTGGATCAGAAACAAGTGACTGCTACTCATGAGGTTACTCACTGATCTTAATTAAACTCAGCAACAAAATTCTGTTTCATTTTTGTATTATATAAATTTACGTAAGTATATATGTATATGTATGACCTTTGAATCTCTCTCTCTCTCTATATATTTATTTATTTTATAAATTTATGTAAAGCTTAATCATCATCGGGTCCCGGTTAGGATTTTTAAATTTATATTGCTTAGTTTTCAATCCTTTCGAGTATCGCTATTACATTTGGTAAGGTGGATTAGAAAGGAAATAATATAAAATAGAATCTCGATAATTGTAGTAGTGTTCACTATTGCCTCACAAGCATACTCTCCATGTATTAAGCTTGTGCTTTTTCGATTTTTTTTTTTTATAGCTTTTTTGGCAGGCTTTTGAAAAGTAAAAAGTTTCTTCTGAAACTAAGAAGTTGTTTTTGAATGTGTTTGATAATTTTCTAAACCTGCTTTGTCTGGCTAGAAGAAATTTTAGATAAAGTTGACGTAAAAAACTTTCTTATGAAACTCTTTTACAAGAAGTAGCAGTAAAAGCAAAGTTTTCCAAACGAGCCCTTATACTACTTCGAATAATAGCTAAATTATTGTCTACGCCACTGTATTCGGTAAGTTGAACTAGATAGCACACATGACAAAGGAAGAAAACAAGCTAAAAAATCTCGTCACTTATATAATCTAACACTATGTACTAATCATACTGAACTTGTAATTTTGTTCGTACTATTTGTAAATATTTTGAAATTTTTTTGATGCAGGAACATCATGGAAAAATGAGTGAAGTCCATGAAAGACTTCTTAGAGTGAACACCAAAGACTATGGAAGATATGATCCAGCCCCAGCACTGGTCAAGCCTCCTTTCAAACTCATTCCAAACTGATCAGTAGTATCTCCATAAATAAACTATGTAATATATATAAATTATCTTTTTTAATATATGTTTTATATATTATATAATATATATATACATACACACACATAATATATACATATGTGTGTGCGCGTGTGGTATGTTTTTGTATGTAGGGTTTTCAAGCATTTGTATCACTTGTACAATTATATATAAATATATATATATATGTATGGAATGTTTTCAAGTAAAGTGTATCTAAATAAATAATTACTTAGATGAATGAATCTTGCATATTTTCTAATTCTTCATTTGAATTGTGCAATTAATTTTTATGTTAAGGATACTGTTGATTAATTTGCTGAGATTTTAACTCACTATTGAAGAGATCCATAGTAAAAACTAGAATTAATAAAAGTTCATGGTAGTGTATGGCATATTGAATGATAAGAAATTTTATTTTAGTAAGATTTCATCTATTTTTCGATTTGTTAAATTTCAATTTTAACCGCACGTTTGAACTTTTTATCAATTTTTTAACAACACATTTAATTAATTTTTACAAAAATCTTCTCATACTTTTATCAAAATATTTGTAAAACAACCCCTAAATCACTTTTGTCCGTCTCTAGGGATAATTGTGGCGGGTAAGCTCTTTGAATATAGAAAATGAATGAGCACTGCATGTTTGGTTTATTGAAAAAGGAAACAAACCATTTGAAGTTTTCAAACTTTACTAAGCCTCTATTTGAGCCCAATTTTTTGGGAAAATAAATTTTATAATAGTGATTTTTTAAAGAATATGAGGTTAAAAAATAAAAATAAATCTTCAGTTTACGTGCAAAATTATTTTATAAAGAAAATGTGTAATTAAAAATAAATTTGGAAAAAAAATGAGGCAATAGCCATTCATTTTTTTCCCTAACACATGCATTTTCAAAATTTCAATTTTTGTGCATCCCCACTAACTAAAATGTTGAAAAGAACCAATGTAGTTTTCACGTACAGCCTATTCAATAATATTGAACGAAAACTTAAGTATCGTACTTATTTAAGTTTAACAACTTCGACAGTAGTTTTCCTTACTGAAATATATTTATAGAAGCAAAGAAGAAGCGTCCTCCAATATTCGAAATTTGAAATTAGCCTATGCTCACTTCAAAATTGCACGTGTAAGGTATCGTGAATAAATAATGAAGTGAGGGTTGATCTCATCAAAACTAGAATCTAACTATGGAGTCATTTAAATCTAGCCTTGACCGAATTCTACATATTTTTGATGAATTTTCATTAACTAAAAACTAACCAAGCTTGAATGAGAACTTTGGAGAAAAAATCAAATAAGAAAAAGTACCTGGACTTTGACGCCACCTATGTTGTTTCACTTTAATTCTCGATTTTACGTAATTGATCACTACTTTATTGAATTGATGATCAAATTTTTGATGTGATTCACTCTCGAGTAGGGTTAAATTTCTTTTTACGTATAAACCTATTAGAACTAATGATATTCATTCAGAGTTTTGATGACCGTTGATCCCATGGGGTGACAAACTAGACTTTAGATAAAACAATATTATTTTTTATATCTATGGAAGTTGTAAATAAGCAAAACACACATTCAAACTTAGAACATTCAATCAATTATCACACAAGGTATATTGACACATCTTCTTTCGTCTATTGGATTTTGCAATGCTTGCTACAAGTGATTGAATTTTTTTGATCTCTCAAAAGCAAAATTACTCACAAATAATTCAAAAAGTGATTAAGTATTTGAAAGTCAATAAGAACAATAACAAACATTCAACCAAACAAGTAAATAAAGTCTCAAATGAGATATATCAAATAAAGTTTAAAAATACAATTTACATCATGTCCTAGTTTATTGAAATTGAACTACGCATATTCAAAATAATAAAAATACAAGAAGTTGAGCTCGACATTGCTGAGGTTAGCAATTAGGAGAAGAGAGAGTTGTGTTTTGGAATGGAAAAACCTACCCCAAAATCACTTAATTGTGACCAAATTTGTCTACAACGTGACTGTTTGTGATCAGACCAATTTTAACTGTGACGATATATGATCAAGTCACAATTAATAAAGAATTGGTCACAACTAATCACAGTAAACACATAATAGGTTATAGAATATTGTCACAAACAAATTCCCACATATCGTACATCAATACAACAATCCAGCATCAATAACCACTACCATAATCTCTAATGCACCACCACTACCATCTTCAACTAATTTACGGCAATGAATTCCCAACAAGAACGTAAAATTCCCAACCAATGTTAAAACTTTTCTCTACTACTCTAGGAGACCATTAATAATTCATCGCCTTTGATCTTTACAATCATTTCCTTAAGAAGGTAAGAGTGCCAGAGTCTAATAGCATGAAATTCTAGTCGATCACCTAGGGAAAAGAGTCACAAAAGAAGCAAATCATAAAAAACCTAAAACAAGATGAATTGGAGGTTTGTAGGAGTAAATTTGTTAGGTTTAATTAAATTTTTATTAGTCCTTGTTTGAGTCCCATTTTTTTATCAGTACATTCTTCAACGGTGATTTGATACAATTTCAATCACACATTTTTCAACAAAATAATATTAAATGCAATTCAAAATTTTTCCTTATTCTTTAACCACACATTTTCCATCATAGCATTATTTCAAAATGCATTTTCTTGATAAAAATGAAACTCGAACAACCCCTTATTTATAATTATTGGAACTTAACTACCATCTAATTTGTGGAATGAAAATTAATCCTCCTTATTTTTAAAAATTAGACTAATGTAGATTTCTATATAATTTTCCTAAATTTGATTTTAATGGAGCTGAAACAAGTGCTGGATAACAATTGGAATATTTAACCCTACCAAATAATGTCAAACTCCGTGTGAATATTAAAAGGGTAGCGTTATTTCCATCCACATTTTTTATAAGTACATCACACTCTAAGTTCATCCCTAATAAAATTTTAAAAAAATACTATTTACATCCACATTACATTCCAATTTTGTCCTTACTAAATTCATTCATTTAAATGACATATATCCACATAAATTTTAAGTACATCCCTAACACTAGATTCACACAATCCCTAAAATATAAACTCTTTTAAACAAAATGAATGAAATACTAACAAAGATGATATTAATTTTATTACATTCATGTATTAGATTTAGGATTTCATCAGTTAGTCATCGTTCAATGTAAGCACATTCCCCCATGAAATTATTCTTATCGTCTCTAAACAGTTAAAAGACAAACTGTATACGTTAACGTCGGAACACAAGAAATCATGGCAGTAGCAAAGTTTCCCATGATATCATTGAACATTAAATTAATATATATTATTCAGCTAACCATTTTAACAATGTTTACTAGAAATTTTATCATTCTTATTCATAAAACTCAACATCAAAGGCAAACCACCATGAATCAACATCCAAATTAGGAGGATGTTTGTTTGTAGAGAAAGTATACCGAGTTACATTTGGAACTCATCATGTTTGGACGATGATTGGTTTGCTTCAATCATCTCTTCATGGTATGCTTAAATTCAAAATTACAAGTAGAAAAAATTACATAAATGTTTAGAGAAAAATGTTTTAACATGCCTAAATTTCTTATTTTTCAATTAGACAAAAATGCTTCACATTAATAACAAGTAGAAAACATCAACTGCTAGAAATAATTTGTAAATAACATATCAATGTGAATCAAAATTAGGCTTCAAATATTTGCGGATAAACATAACATGATTAGGTAATCGAATAGTAGCGAACAAATCAAGCAATTGTTCAATCAATAATAGTAGTGTTATCAGATAAAAATAATAATAATAATAATAATAATAGTAGTAGTAGTAGTTAATTGTTCTTGTGGTTTATCCAAATCAATTATCTCTGATGTAGCTACACCTTCTTCTACCAGGGACCTAAAAAATTGCATCCTAACATGGTAAGGTGTAGCCCAACATTCTGCACATGGATGATGGTACTTGTACCAATTACAAGCAATAGGTGGCATTGGTCCACTAGTATGCCAATTTACCTGTACACAATCACATAGAAAAACATAAGTAGAAATATTATTTAGTTAATTAAAAATTTAATTAATTTGATGAATATTTCCCGAGACAAAATGGCAGTCATTGACAAATCCAATTACAACAATCTTATGAGATGCAATTGCAAGTGGTTCATCCCAAAGTGGAAGAAATGTAAGACATTGTTGTTGACTCAAGTGAACAAGAATAATTTTATATCTTGAAGCAATAATATGACCCATATCTGGCGTAGTCATCCAATACTCATGACTCGCTGAACCATCAAAATGAGAAACTGAATGAATCAACTCATGGACCATATCATAATTTCCATAGAGTCTAGAGTAATCATCAAAATGAGATTCAAGCTCCTTTATTAAGTCTTTTCTGACCAAAGACCAATTCTCTTCACCTATACCTAGAATATTAGCCACGGCCCGAAAACCACAATTGCCATCTGCGCCCACATCTTGCACCTCAACTATGTAAGGTCTCAAACGAATAGGAAACGAATCAAAATAAACCATGGACTTTGATCCACATGCTCGATATACCTTTTGTTTTTGTCGAATTGGAGGTTGGCTTGATAACATGGGTTGACTTAAATGTGTAATGGAACTATCCAATTGTTGTAACGTATTGTCTTGTCTAGATAGAACTAACTCAAAATACGATGGGTCTCGACGAGTAGATACATCTATTTTTGAGGATGGACGACCCTTCGTCTTAGTTTGGACTTGTGGCTCAACTAATGATGTAGAACTCGGACTAGCAATCTCTTTCAATTTTTATAGGATTTCAGCCTTCACATGATCATTATTATCCCGGTAACGTTTTTCAATCATTTCAAATAATGATACACAATTAATTTCGGATGTCTTACCTTTATCAAGAGAAACTAGATCAAGCTTCTTCCAGTGAGAGTGTACTCTTGATAAAGGAATGGGTTAAGATTCATTCTTATGCTCTGAAATCTCATGGGCACACGATAATCCATGTGTTTGTCGTATAACACATCCACAAGTTACCTTGTCAGTTCCTATGTCATCAGCTCGCTTGGACTCTTGAAATATCAAATTCATTGCAATTCTTGATGTAAATCCCCTAAGCTTTTTAAATAAGGTAGGTTTGAAATTATGATAGTACACAAACTCTTTTCAAACGACGCTTTAATATCTGTATGTTGTAGCTCCAATAATGCATGAATTCTTGTCCATGATGTGTCAAAATTACCTTAGGAAGAACCTAAATGCCTTTTGAGTTTTGCATGTGCAAATTCAGCCCTACCATGGAAAATAAATCAGAATCACTGTACATTAGCACACTTAATAATGCAAATAGCAATTTAATAATGCCAATAGAAATTTACCTATTAGTTTTCATGTTTCCAAAATGCATGTGTAGATTTATCCAAGTTGCCACAAACTTCTCTTTATATTGAAGAAGCCATGAATTCATTACATAGTCAATTCCTTGTGGAAATTGTTGAAAATTGGATTCTAAGAGATTTAGATTTTGTTTGTACTCTTCTATGGATGTTGAAAGTACTAACAAATTCCACATATGCATAAAGACATCCCATTGGTCCTTGTGATTGTCAAAATATTTTTTTATTTTTGCCAACACATTCTTTGAAATGTGCCATCTACATAAAATATTAGTAGGAAAATATTTTTTCAACGACCTTCATAAGAGCTAGATCTCTATCAATAACAATAACACTAGGCATTATTATGTCGTTCATTAGACTCTTCAATCTCCCTAAAGCCCATGCGTAGTTTTCCTCACGTTCTTTTCCCAAGTATGCAAAAGCGATGGAAAATGTTAAATCAGTAGAAGTGACACCTACTATTTCCAACAACGGTAGGCGATACCTATTTGTCTTATACGTGCAATCCATAATTATCACACCAGGAAAAGCCCGCAACAAATCTACTGAATATGGATGTGCCCTGAATAAATCTTGAACTATATTCATCTCCATATAGGTGCGGTGCCACTCTATGTACTTATTCTCAACAAGTCTATTCATTAGTTGTTGCATTTGTGTCCTTCCAGCTTGTTCTTTGAGCATGAACTTCTGACGTGCATTGTAGAAGTGCCTCATTGTGCTAACATTTGTGTCATCATTTTGCTTCAATGTATATAATATTTCCTTTGGTCTTAAATGATTCTTTGACATGTCTACTAAAATTGAAGTCTCTTTCTCAGTTAATCTCCCAGCATATGAATGTCCTTCAAGGTTTTGGGCAATGTCATGATTATGTCTCCCACATTTCACTTTCAATATTCAATAATCACCATTTATCAATTTTCTTCCATTCAATGCGAATAGGCATCCACATTTTTTTATTCTGGTAGTTCTTCGTCTCTTTCGTTTTTCATTTTCTTTGTTAGTATTCCTACACCTATATGAACCATGTCTTTCACATGCAAAATCAATTCTTGGTTTTCTCCCGACTTGGCCGAAGTCGGACTTTTTTCATAACAACAATCATGCTATGTCTCTTACCAGTAGTTTTAACCCAATCGATCAATGCCTCTTTACTTGTAAATATCTGTTTATCATCAAATATTCATATATAAATATATGATCGTGTTAAAAAAAATAAAATTATTACGTACCATGTTTGTTGTAAACATATCCATATAATCAACAAATAACTCATTCTGGACATCATAGTTATATGTTGATGTATCCGACATTAAAAATATAGTTTTAAATAATGTATTTGAAATAAATTTAACAATAACTAATATAAAAAATACAACATCGGATAAGTATGCGAAATAGTAAATGAATTGGAACTTTTCTAAATACTTGTGAAAAAACTCATTAATGTATTAATGTGTTAGGAAAAAATCAAACAACAAAACAAGATAAAAATGTAATCCTTACTTTTTCAAATTTCTCTTCATATATTGCTATGTCTGTATATTTTTGTTCTAACGGCGTCTCTTCCATTGTTCACTAAATTTCTGTGTATTGAAATTCTGAGTATTAGAATGTTTCGAACAACAAAGGCTAAAGAAAAAAGAAGAAGAAAGTTCAATTAAGCAAGCTGAATTTTACCAACTTTGTATGCCGAACATATTAAACACATGTACTCTGAAAACTTTAGCTAATATTTGAAGGCATAATATATATGCAAAATTTGATTTTTTAATTGCCCGAGTGATAAATAATATCTAACGAGAAGGGAAAAATTAGAAACAGAAGAGGATTCAGAAACTACGAAAATTGTTCAAAAACTAAAAGAAGTTAGCAAGATGTGATTTTACCTGTGCTTTTAGTTGCTCATTCTTCTTGAGAATGGAATCATAATTGGACAAAAGGGACTTGAAGCGGATTTGAGTTGATCATGATCCCTTTCAAGCTATTTGTTCTTCCACTGTGCACGACGATCTTGGAACCACACTGCCTCCTGTCGAGATTCGGTACTGCAAACCCATATTTTTGGCCAGATGAGTTTTGCACTCTAGCTCTAGCTTGTTCTCTGCGTCAAAGCTCTTCGTAAGCAAGTTCACCAATAAATCAAACAAAAAGAGTAGAGTAAATATTTAATACAAGAAAATAGGATAATTTTTCATAGGACTTCAAAATCAAATTGTAATCATCTGGATAATCAGCAATCCGTGGACTTGAATTCCTAATTAGAATTATATTGAGATAATAAGGTAGTGATCAAATTACTTGAGTATTGCCTAATTTTCCCTAATTATATTCATGTAGTTTTTCTTAATCTATTAGGATTATAGTTAAACACAAATTCTAAGATGATTTAATGAAAGTAAAAATTAGTGGATCAATTTAGAGTTTTGTGTTTTTATTTTAAGTAGAAGTTGTGAGTTCAAGAGATCTGGTCTTGACGCAACTGCTCTAAGAACCAACCACTCTTTTGAAATATTAGTTTGTAATTAAAGAGCCACAATGTAGAAGGTTAGAGAGAGATGCTCTCAAACTCTAGAGAGAGGATCACTAGAGTTGCCTCATGTGTGAGCTCATTCTTCCTCGTTTGAATTTACCTTCTTTGGTATTTTCGAATTTGATTTGCAAATTTTATTAAAGTCTGTTCAGTTTCACCATAGTTTCATTTTGAGGATTTCAAATTCTTGGAGCCTCAATTTCAGCCAGAATATGGCAGGTTTCTTGGATGCTTTGAAACTTTCACTTTGGTCAGATGCATAGATACATCATCCGGCCAGAAAATTCAGAGCTTTACTCATCATTTTATTTAGATTTTCAAGCTTTCTTCCTCTCATTAGAAGACTTGATAACAGTAGCAAATTTTGTTGCATGGTTTATGCAGTTTTTTTGCAGAGTTTTGCCCAGATTCTTGGAGCTTCTCTACGTATCTTTAAAGATTCTTAGTGTAATTTGAACATTGCATTGGGATTCTTTATGATATTTTTCCAGATTCAGTTTTGGATGTGGCTTGAACTGTTACTCCAGATCGATTTTGGTCAGTATTTAAGGCAGTTTTCTGGTTAGTGTGGCCTTGTGTGCAGTTCCATCCAATCTCATATTGGTCTAAGCTATTTTGAGGCAGGGCTGTTGGTTTCTTTGACATTCGGAATATACTTGCAGGTGTATTGGAAGCTTGTTTTTGCGGTTTGATTAGTTCAATTCATGACTGCTTTCTTTCGTTGGTTGGTCGGTTCATTGGTTGCTGGCCAGTTTCGGTCTAGCTCTTTTGTTGATCCGCCAGATTCTAGCTAACTCTGGGTGGTTTTGTCCAACTCAGTTGCTTTCAGTCTAGACAATCTTCAGAGATTCAGATTTGGTTCTTGAAGTGTTTGAGGATCTGGTGTTCATCTTCATATCTTGAAAGTTGTATGTATTTGTGGTGATATTAATCATATTGTAAATTTGAATTGGTATTGTTGTCTTACTGTCAACTGAGGATCACGTGTTCTACTGGTTGGATTTTCAGCTTTCAAAGTTAGGTAATTAATATATCTTGCCCCTCACGTAAGTTTAGTATGTTAGGACCTTGTCTCAGATTTCTTTGTTCTTTTACTTTCTGGATTCTGTAGTCTATGTTTGCTAGCCTTTCCCCCAGTGTGAGTTTTAGTTTTGCTAACACGAGTGGAATCACACCATTTAATTCATGACGTGATTACTGAATGAAGTCTTGGATCCTTCGTATCAATAATTTGAAATCAAGAAAGTTTTTGGGCAGTCCCATTTCAACATAAAATATAGTAAAATTTTATTTTTAAAAGTAGATGTACTTAGAAAAAGCGTGGATCGAAATAGCGTTATCTTATAAAAATTAGGAGCTTAATGGAATTTTACTAAAAAAAACAATTTGTTGATTCTTTTGTAAATGCCAAAAAACCAGTAAAAATCTTTTTACGGTCAGAAAAATTCAAAGTAAAAATAGTAATAAAATAAAATTTTCAATTGCTTCTATAAAAAAAATTAAAATTCAATTAACCCAATGTTAGGTACCTCTCTAACAGCATAGTTGTTTTTACGCAGCCAATTTGGAATAGAAACTATCCCCCACGACCGAAGGGAAGAACCAGAACCAGAACCAGAACCAGAACCAGAATCAAATCCTTTCTCTCCCTACTGTATACATAAATCTACAACACCTTTTATTTCTCTCTCTCGGTTTTCAGATTGCCAGACCTCACGGTTCGATCTTGTAAGTTTCAATTGTTTTGTACGAGGTACAGTATATAACATAATTGTAACTAAATATATTTAGATTCTAATAGTATGTATTCGTATGTGCTAAAAGAAATTGGTAATAATATAAGGTTTAAAGGGAAGTAAGAATGGAAATTATTTGGATTATATTTGGTAATGTTAAAATGGTTAGACAGGGAAAAAAAAAGGTTTGGACTGGAATTTTGGATTTGAGGGTTTTATTAGAGCTCATGTACAAGATGCTCGGTTTAAATTATCATTTACTAAATCGAAGCATTAATTTCTCTTTGTTACTCTGATGTGAATTTTTATATTGTCTTTTGGTGATGTGGTAATTGGGATGCATGGACGGATATTGTTGGATAGGATGATTTTGACTATCATTTATGGGATTATATGTATCAGGCTTTGTCTTTTATTATCTGTGTTTACAATGGGTCAGGAAGAACTTCAATGAGCCATAAATTTAAGTAATTGAAACTGGAGTAATTGGGTAAATTGACACTCTTATCAAAGGGTTTCAATAATTATGATTTTCTTGATGATCAAATTATGGTGTTGGTTTTTTAGTCTTTTATGTTGGGAAGTGATGTTTACTCTGGGCATGACTTCATTCGTAGTGTCAATCACCTTACTCATAGCACGCAAATTGTACTTTGCTTTATGATTTGTATTAATGGAAGTATATCTCATGGTTATTTCCACCTTTTTTGTAATGTGTGGTCGATGATGGTTTATATTACCTCATGTCCTTGGAAGCTGATAGCTGGAGCTTGTTGTTTCTATGATCAATGATTTAGATATCATCTAGACTGATATATGTACTTCTTAATTATTACTTACACATTAGTTTAGGGCTATATTGTGAATTCTACAACTTACAACTTCATACCGTGTTTTTAACTTTATGTCATCTAAGGATCTGAGGTGTAAGGAATTTATGTTATATAACATTTTGGTTGGCTATTTGGTCATTCTTTATAATTACCGTCATGGTTTATGCAATGTGTATCTGTAATTTTGACGTTGTATTCTGCTGATGATTTGATTGCTGTTTTTGACTTTATACAGATAATTTATGTTCAGTCTACCTCCTTCGTGTTCTTTTTGTGGAGATCATTGATGTGAAAGACAGTTACACATAGGTTATCAATTATTTGTTCTGTGTGTGAGAAGGCATGGGGTCTGCATGTTGTGTCGCAGCTAGAGAACCTAAAACAAAAGGATCACCCAGTGAAACTTTGGAGAGGCACTCCCGCCATTCACCATCTTGGAGCTTTCGACGGGATAATCGTGGGAGAGTAGCTGGAGAGGAGCAATCTGAGGATTGGTTACATGATGGAGGGGCCAGCAGTCATCGATTGGATGCCAAATCTGGTACCACAGTAGAAATTGCTTCTGCTTCTGAAGGAGGCAGCCCATTAAATAGTTTCCAGTCACTTGTGCGGCAAAAGTCCCCAGTTTCTGAAAAAAATACTGGGATTTTCATTCATCCTCCTTCTGGTAATTCTCTATGTGGCAGTTCATTTCTTTTAGTTTTGAGATGCAGTGTGTGTGTGTGTGTGTGTGTGTGTGTGTAAAGGATTTGCACTCATTGTAATGCAGTCTAACTTTTCTCCTCAGATTATTTTGTCTATGAAGAACATATATTTGTAATCTGTGATGTGAGGTGATACTGATTTTGTTTGGCAGCATGGAATTGAGTCCTTCAAATAAAAATCAAATACATTTTGTTCAAATTTTGACAATTTAGATACCATTTCTCACTCCGTCCTGTTAAAAAATTGTATACGAGTATTTTCTTGCCCTATTTTCAGATAAACACAAGCAATTAGCAATTTTTCGACAAAACTAAAATTGAATGTTGAAACAATCCAGTAGGTACTCTATTAAAATTTGCTTAAGCATGTTCATCGAGCTACTTCGTGAGCTCCACCTTATGAGACTACAGTGAACGAAAAATGTAGTATATCACAGGATGATTTATAGATTTATTCTAAAAACTTATAGAGCGAGATTTGATGTATGTGGGAATTGTTGCATTGCCTGAAGTTTTCCTTGTTTCTCGTGGCATATTGTCCGTTCATTATGCACTTATTACTATAAGCATCTGGCTATGTGTTTATGTTACTAGACCTGGCTAGGAATCTATACGTCTTAAGGCTCTTGGAACTTTTGACTACGATCTGTAGATGCTATGGTTTAAGGCAAATCTGTCACAGGAAATGATAGCTCTTATAGTGGATTATCTTTTGGCTATCACTTTTTTGTGCAAAATGGTAAAGAACTGCTACATTCATTAGACTTGAATCCAGGCAAATTGCCTATGCGGCTTTTAGACAATTTCAATGATTTATAGACCTAGCACCATACCACTGCTTGCCTACTTGTCCGTTCATTAACTTGTTTATCCATCTGACATGGAAACGTGACAATGGGCATCCTAATTCTCTTGCTCTTTAACACTTAACATAGAAAAAATAAGAGATAGAACAGTAATTTTCCAGTGATTCTATATTTTGATGTCTGTATAATTGTTTTTGCAGATCCTTCTACTTCCCAGACTTTAGCAGAGGTACGTGGTGAACCGTTGGTATTGATTAAATATTGCATTACAGTATATTTAGAATGTTTGTGTACATGGTATATACGTGCTAAACAGATTGCCTCATCTGATTCTTCTCTTCCATAATTCCATTCCCATTGGCCAGGTGAAGGACTCAACTGTATCCCCTGCAGTTTCATACCCGTCTCCTGCGAAGCTGTCTCCTTCAGCACCTTCTGTTTTGTCTCCATCAACATCTCCTTTGTCATCTAAAATTTACCATCTTCCCCCAAACTCGACTCCTTCAAGGTGGCATCGTCGTTCTCCAGGACAACGGCTATTAAGGCATGTATCTGATAGCCGGATTCCTGAATACAAGTCCTCCACATTCTCGATTTCTGAAGAAGCATCTTCTTTATTGCTCCCTGCTTGGGGCTCCAATGATGGGTTTTCAGACACTTGGTCATCACCTGCCTTTTCTGAGCTCATGAGAACTAGAAGAGAGAGGTGGTCTTTTGATAGCCAACAAATATTGGGGTCTCCTTCCTTGGATCTCCAAACATGTGGTGTTTGTTCAAAGCTTTTAACCGAGAGATCTTCATGGGGTGGCCAAAAATCAATTGTAACCACTGAAATTGATGTGGTTGCTGTTTTAATTTGTGGACATGTTTTCCATGCTGAGTGCTTAGAGTGCATGACATCTGAGATCAACAAATACGACCCAATTTGTCCAGTCTGTACTTTTGGGGAGAAGATATCTAAAAAGGCACTGAAAGCTGAAATGGATTTGAAGGCTAGAAAGCGATCCAGGAATCGTGTGGTTGATAGCAATCTCATTGACTTTGATCATGATAAAAGCAGTGGTCATGAGGGAACAAATCACAGAGGTAGCTCGAGTTCTAGCATGAAGGGCTCTTTAGGATACCATTTCTTGAGACGACACTTGTCATTCGGGTCAAAGGGGATCAGATCATTTTCTGAGAATAACTCCACTAGGAAAAAGGGTTTTTTCTGGACGAAATCTAGCAAGGAGTGAGCTTTGCTATGACTCCAAAGAAGTAAGGACTCAGTATTTCTTACATGTGCATCTTAGTTCAACACTCATATCTGCAATCTATGGATCATACATTCTTGTGATAGATTTTGATTCATATTTATTGTAGAGTGCTGAGACTGCGTTTTTGTTTACTCAGATTCCACAGTCGGATCGATCTGCGGTTGGCTGGTGAACATTGGCAGTCATATGTATGTGTAGCTAACTACTGAAGTTATAAATACACTGTAAATGGGAACATAGTACAAATTGAAAGGTCAATTTCTTATATAAGAGAAGGAGAAATGTAGCAATATGAAATAAGAGCCTGGTAATTATTACTATTATTATTTTTCCTTCAAAATTCTGATTTTGCTTATTTCATGTTGAACTGCATGATTATATAGCCGAAAAGCTATTGATTACCCACAATCAGCAGACATTTGATGGTGTCCCCTGGAATAAGGATTTTTTACCTGTCTTATGTGTTGGACCTACTTGTTTACGTACATTTATACATTTCTTACAACTCAAAAACGTAGACATAATTGGTTAGTTTATTTTAAAAATTACTCGCAAGTACCGCACTATTTTGAATTGTTAATGCAGCTAAGATCAGTTGATTCAATTTTTTTTTTTTTTTTTTATTTGTCCAATAAAAGCTTGTATAGGTGAGAAAATACAATACCAGATTTCTTTAAAACCTAATTTATAGCATTTTTCCTTTTTTTTTTAATTAGTTCTACAGTACTTCAAATATCTGTTTTATAGCCCTCCAAAAATAACTGAAAAAATTCACACATCTCCCCACCGCACAAACCTGCTACAATATTGGAGTACCATATCGAGAGTTCATCACATTCAATTCCTCCAAAATAATCAAATTTTTTTCACGGTTTCTGTAAACCAGGGAAGCCTCCTTTTCCATCACTTTCTCATCATTTTTCCAAAACGCCATCTCATTTTTGCTGGAGATGGAGAAGACACCTAGAGGACACCGCCTATGGCCGCCACCTACGGCCACCCTCCTGGTTCTTTTCTACCTCTTTGTTGCTACCTTTGCTGCCTTTACCCCACCTGATAATTACCTTCTCAATTGTGGTGCATCGTCCTCCACCGCCCTCTCGAATGATCGCATTTTCGTGAGTGATTCAGATGCAAGAAAATATTTAGCCTATAAAGGAAAAGACATTCAAGTTTCTGTACCATCTGCCAATGTACCTTCACCCATTTATCTTTCGGCGAAAATCTTTGAAAAGGAACCCGCGGTTTATACCTTCCATGTTACTCGGCCGGGTTGGCATTGGATTCGTCTCCATTTCTTCCCGGTGCAGAACAGTAATCATGATTTGCAGAATGCCATGTTTAAGATTCAGACAGATGAACTTGTCCTTGTACAAGAATTCAAGAACAATGAAAACCCGAAATGGACTTTTAAAGAGTACCTTGTTAATGTGACAACAGAGAGGTTTTCGATTAGATTTGTGCCGGATACAGATAGTTTTGCTTTCATTAATGCCATTGAGTTTGTTTCAGCCCCTGATATGCTGATTCAAGATTCTGGTTCAATGCTTTTCCCTAAAGGAGATTATTCCGGTTTAAGCAAAAACGCATTCCAAACTGTGTATAGGCTTAATGTTGGAGGGCCGATCATCACCCCGGAAAATGACACCCTTGGAAGATCTTGGGAGTCTGACCATCAGTACCTTGATCCAGGTGTTACTGCATCGAATATTTCCGTTGCACCTAACATAATTGCTTATCCGGAGGGCGAGTCACCTTTCATTGCTCCACCGGTGGTTTACGCATCAGCCATTGAAATGGCGGATGCCAATGTTCAGGTTCCTAATTTCAATATTACATGGAAAATGGACATTGATACTGCATTTACTTACCTTGTTCGTCTGCACTTTTGTGACATTGTGAGCAAATCTATGAATGATCTCTACTTTAATGTGTATATCAATGGGAAGGCTGGCGTGACGGGGCTCGACTTGAGTACTCTTACAGGGAGCTTGGCATCGGCTTACTATACTGATATCGTCGTGAATTCTTCCATGGTTACGAGCCTTAGCCCGCTGACTGTTCAGGTTGGTCCAATGAATGAAAACACAGGCACGAGAAATGCGCTGTTGAACGGTCTTGAGGTTTTCAGGGTGAACAATTCCGTTGGTAGCCTAGAAGGCGAGTTTGGTGCTGATGGAAAAACATCCAATGGAGCGGGAAAAGGCACGGTGGCTGCAGTTGGGTTTGCAATGATGTTCGGAGCTTTTGTTGGATTAGGTGCAATGGCTGTCAAATGGCAAAAGAGGCCTCAAGATTGGCAGAAGACAAAAAGTTTCTCTTCTTGGTTACTTCCCCTTCATGCCACTGATTCAAGCTTTATGTCCAACAGTAAGACGTCTTTAGGTTCTCGAAAAAGTCAGTTCTTTTCATCGACTATGGGATTAGGCCGATACTTTTCGTTTGCTGAACTCCAGGAAGCGACCCAGAATTGGGATCCATCTGCAATCATTGGTGTTGGTGGTTTTGGCAATGTCTATCTTGGAGAAATCGAAGATGGATTGAAAATAGCCGTGAAACGAGGCAACCCCCAATCCGAACAAGGCATTAATGAATTCCATACCGAGATTCAGATGTTATCCAAACTCAGGCATCGTCATTTAGTGTCCTTGATTGGATACTGTGATGAAAATTCGGAAATGATCCTCGTGTATGAATATATGTCGAATGGACCTCTCCGGGATCACCTCTATGGAAAGGACTTACCATCCCTTTCTTGGAAGCAAAGGCTTGAAATCTGCATTGGGGCAGCGCGTGGGCTGCATTACTTGCACACAGGCGCGGCACAGGGCATCATTCATCGTGATGTCAAGTCCACAAACATCTTGCTCGATGACAATTTCATTGCAAAAATGGCTGATTTTGGCCTTTCCAAAAACGCTCCAACATCAGAACAAAATTATGTAAGCACAGCCGTGAAAGGGAGTTTTGGATACTTGGATCCCGAATACTTCAGAAAACAACAACTTACTGATAAATCCGATGTGTACTCATTTGGGGTCGTTCTTTTGGAGGCTCTGTGTGCTCGTCCTGCCATTAATCCAGCATTGCCAAGAGAGCAAGTGAACTTAGCAGAATGGGCAATGCAGTGGAAGCGAAAAGGCCTACTTGACAAGATTATTGATCCTACACTTGTTGGACACATCAATCCCGAGTCAATGATGAAATTTGCTGGAGCTGCAGAGAAATGTTTGGCAGATTATGGTGTCGACAGACCTACCATGGGGGACGTATTGTGGAATTTAGAGTACGCTTTGCAACTGCAAGAAGCATCCTCTATAGGAAAGGCCGAGGAAGAAAATCAGACATCCCCAAATTTGGCATCTCCTCCTCCTGCTGCTGCTTCTGCATCCGATAATAGGCCAGCTTCTACAGCTGATGAGAATAGGAATCCTGCTGAAGTTCAAGCCATCAACAATCACTCTGAAACTGCTATGCGTGCAAATTTCTCTGCTCTCAGTGGCCGATAAAGCAATATTAGCTCGTCTGATAAGTCGGACTGTACATAACTACATAGTATCCAACATTGAAGAAGAGGGAGGAATAAGCTAAAATCTTGTTCATTCTACGATCCAATTATACCTAGAGATCTCGATTCTCATCAATTAGTACATTTTTGTTTTATCGTAGGTATAATCTACTTTTCCTCACATGTGGTATATTGTTTGTATGGATATTGTTGTTACATTGTATATTATTTATAAGCATAAATTTGTATCTATTAATTAGGTGAAAATCATGGGATATATGAGCTTTGTCACTTTGATTGTATTAAAGATCTTGGTTGTTATTGTAGAGGGTATGACTCTACATGAGCACGAGTATTATTTCTTGTAAATCCTAAGGGTATTTGTTATTTATCATTATGATGATGGAACGTCGATGATGTGACAACCCATTATCTATCATATTTCTCTCCCCCCCCCCCAAAATGAAAATTGAACGGCCCAATTCCATAATTTCACATAAACTGTTATATCACAGATGTTCTATCACTATAATGACAAAAAGCATTATTCTATTTTTATATATTTCATATTTTTATTGTCATCACAACCACCCTAATCCACAAATCAAAATCCTTGACGTGACAAGTGGCACACATATCAAAATCACGATTGTAGCTAGGAATGATCGAGGGGTTGACAGTCGTAATTCCCTTATATAAAAAGGGAACATTCTTCATCCAATACAAGAATTCAAATATTCTCTCAACAATATACTTTTATGCTTGCATACCTACTTTTGAGCTTGGACAAAGCATAATCCGACCTAGCTACATATCCAGTTTTCTTGATTTCTTTAAAGTTGAATCGAGAGGTACCACGTCACTTTTTGACAATAACAATTTGATGCTAGAAGGGCCTTTCCTTGTGAACCCTTATTTTCAAACAAATCCTCGAAAAACCATTACCACAAAGTTACAAATCCTGTCTGTTGAAATGAGTTAAATTAAAATAAAAGTTCGAGGAGCCGTGGCGACTCTAGGACGAACACAAAATGTGGATATCCCTGACAGTTTCAAAAGGAGTTATGCTGTAGAACTTACTACAAATAAAAAAATAAAATATATAATAAAAATAAATAAATAAAAATAAAAACACCAACCACAAAATGAAAATTGAACGGCCCAATTCCATAATTTCACATAAACTGTTATATCACAGATGTTCTATCACTATAATGACAAAAAGCATTATTCTATTTTTATATATTTCATATTTTTATTGTCATCACAACCACCCTAATCCACAAATCAAAATCCTTGACGTGACAAGTGGCACACATATCAAAATCACGATTGTAGCTAGGAATGATCGAGGGGTTGACAGTCGTAATTCCCTTATATAAAAAGGGAACATTCTTCATCCAATACAAGAATTCAAATATTCTCTCAACAATATACTTTTATGCTTGCATACCTACTTTTGAGCTTGGACAAAGCATAATCCGACCTAGCTACATATCCAGTTTTCTTGATTTCTTTAAAGTTGAATCGAGAGGTACCACGTCACTTTTTGACAATAACAATTTGATGCTAGAAGGGCCTTTCCTTGTGAACCCTTATTTTCAAACAAATCCTCGAAAAACCATTACCACAAAGTTACAAATCCTGTCTGTTGAAATGAGTTAAATTAAAATAAAAGTTCGAGGAGCCGTGGCGACTCTAGGACGAACACAAAATGTGGATATCCCTGACAGTTTCAAAAGGAGTTATGCTGTAGAACTTACTACAAATAAAAAAATAAAATATATAATAAAAATAAATAAATAAAAATAAAAACACCAACCACATGGTGGCCTTCATGGCAGCCTGAGGCGGATGTAGTGGCGGTGCCACCCTACCCTTATGGAAAATTAAGAATAACTATTCAATTTTGACCCAATTATCCGTCTTAGTTTAGCTTCTTTTGAATTCCGACCCGCGCTCGATTATCCAAATTTTGTTAAATAGACTACAATTATTAAAATACTCTTTTCATGGCATTCATGCAACGTAAATATCTTATTGTCAAATTAGGTATTTTATTTAATTAATGTTTGACTACATTTACTTATGATAATTATGTAAATTTTATAACAGATAATTTATATTGATTAAATTTAAAAATAAATTATTTATTTTAATAGTTAGAGATGCTGTATGTTTTGCAAAGCTTAAAAATAATTATTATTATTTATTTCTACTTATGTTTTCATATATTACTTATTCATACTTAAAAGAAAATTTTACTTATTTTGATCATTAAAATGAATTTAGGATCAAAATAAATAACTTGCTCTAGATTTGATCTTGTCAATAAAAAGAATATTTGTGAAACTTATTTATATATAAATTAATCAATATATAAGTACATTTTCGAAACTGAGCTAAACATAGATGTGAATTAAATCTAATTTCTTTGAACCCTCGGAATTCTTAATTGATTTTTCTTACTTTGGATGTGATTCATCACTCACTATGAAATGTAGTGATATAGAAAGATTGATATCCATACAAAGTAGTCTTTTGAGATAATATGTATAGGGATGTATTAGTTATTGTGTGTTTTGATATAAGCTTTCGATTGTTTGAAAAGATTGATCGTCAAAGTTATTTAGAACGGTATTCATTAAATAACTCGTAGTTTTTCATCGGTGGAGATGTATTATTTTCTTATTTCCATCATGATTTGGTCAGTTTATATTTTTTTTCAAGTAAGAATGATTTTCTATTTGATAAGAAACGATTAAAAAAAAATAAAAAAAATCTAGTGATATATCTTAGGGTGAGACATCTAGATTTCTTTCATTTCATTGAGTATCGTACACTCTCTGTCGTGAATATCATGGGTTTAGCCTCCTAAACTCGACCTCTCATGCAGCGAGATCGTTTGTAATACTTTAAATTCTAGTCTATCCTAACATCATTTTCTGGTTCCGTCCTTGATAGCAGCAATTGAAAACTTGACTAGTGTGGTGCATCGAATTGAGCAAAACCAAACTTCGAGTTTCTTCAAGCAGATTAGTAAGTGGAAAGTGATATCTGAGTTAAATTGTTATATCACACATGACACATTTATGTGGTATTATAACTTAATTATATGGATGTTTGACAATCGATTAGTTCGTCAACTAAATTTTTATTAAGGGATTAATTGTCAAAAGCACAATAATTCCTCGACTGTTTGAAATTATTGAATTTCTCTATAATTTTCCGTTTGGATAATTGGATGATGGCACACATTGTTTTCGAAAAAAACAAAATAAATTTATCGAGCTTATAAAGTTTTTGCTAATTTGATCATTAATAAGATCAACTAAATCACGAGGAAGAACTAGGATTTACTCAAAACAATAGAAATGAGCATTTGTTCAGGTGAGGTTTTTTTCAAGTGAAAATGATTTTTTTTTTTTTTTTAATGTGTACTTAAAAAGTAAGAAAAAAGCTATGAATCCATGAAATGTGCAATCGTAAATGATCTTGGAAATTTTAGAAAAATCTCTCCCAAACAATATTTTGAATTGTTGATGATAAAGTACATGAGGAAACTAATATAAATGGATATATAATTAATTTTTAAGTGAGAATAGGTCTACTCCATGGATAATTCAAACGAACTTGATAGGCCAAATTTTGGTTACTATTTAATCATACATTCTTAATAAAATTGCTTTTTATAAAAACAAATTATGGGGTTGTTTGAGCCCCATTTTTCTAAAAAAAAAAAATTTATTTTGAAATGGGTTAATTTCACAAATAGTCTCTGAACTTACGTGAAAATTACAAAATGGTCACTGAAAGTTAAAACTTTTAGTAACGTTCACTTAAGTTTTGGGGCGCTTTAAAAAAAAGTCACTAAAGTTTAAAAATTTGCAGAGACGGTTACTGAAATTTAAAAACACTTATTTAGTTTTTTGGGCTACTTTTGCGATAATTTTTTGAGGAAATTACCCAAAACCTTACATTTTATGTATACATCTCACTTATCAAATCTTAAACTTTTCTTTTCACAAATCAGGTTAATTATTTAATTAACATTTATTAAACCCACATCTCACATTTCTCTCTCCTTATGATAAAAATCACATCTCACCATTTCTCCCTCCGTCACATAAATAACCTCAAAAGTACCTGACTCCGACGACAAAAGTGAGAAGAAAATTTACTCCGGCGGCTGCAGTTGTTATGGGGCTTTGGAAGAAAAAAAATGTGCTCCAACGATTGATCTGCTTTGGGGGGTAATATCTTGAGAGGAGGAGGTGGTGGTGGTGTTGTGGTAGTGGTACCGATGGTAATATCCGTTGTAGTAATGTTGGTGGTGATGTCTAACAAAAGGGTTTGGAGGTGATGGAAGATCAAGAGAAGGTTTGGAGGAGGGAACTGGAAGAGCCGCCACCACTAGCCCGTCTCCACCGCCAACAGCAAAGTTATTATTATTAATTATAGGGATTATTTATAAGTTAGTTTTTATCAAATGAAAAAATATGTAGAATATTTCATTCTAGCAAAACATTAACGAGGCTCATCAGCCAACGAACAAGTTTTAAGGTCGATGTTCAATGTACGGCAATAGGAATATAGGATCCTCATTTACATATTGTTCGATCATGTTGACCAAAAAGAGATAAATATGTATATTCTGGGCACTCTAAATTTATGGTATGTTTAACTTTATTAATCAAGTTAGCATTTTCTGATAAGTTTTATTAGTAGTTTATGTTATATCTATTGGAAATTGGAATAAGACCAATTTTCAATTTATTCTTACATATAATCACATAAAGACATAGAGATGAAATTTTTCTGAATTTACGCCACAGACAAATTAAATTACCAATCTGTATGTGGATGAACGAACCATGAAGGAGGAGGTCATAGATGCCTGGCCACCGAATACTTTGTCAAGGAATGCAAAATGGCGGTGACCATTTATATGTTAACTGTGACCTTTGTGACTAAGTCCGTGTTAATTGTGACATGTTGTGACCAAGTCCGTTTGTGTTAATAGTGATCAGATGTAACCAAGTCTATCCGTGTTAATTATGATCAATTGTGATCAAATCTATCTTCATTATGACTATTCGTGATGAAATCCATCTTACTTGTGAGCGACCAAATTAACAGTGGCCTGATTATATACATTTGAATTAGACTAAACTGGTCACAGACATTCACTCTGAAGACAAATTAGTATGGAATGACAATTTTTTCATCCCATTACTCTCTTATCCTAAAAAAGGAAAGAAAGAAAATGAACGGGAGCTACCTCAACATCAACCAATTCTATTCATAATTCCAATTTTTGTGACCTAAAATATGTGATTTGTAATTAAATTTGTAATTGTGACCTATAATTTGTGTCTTCATGATCGATAAATAAATTTAGATCAATTAAGTGATCAAGTCTGTGTTAACTGTGATTCATTGTGACTAGGTCTGTTTTTATTGTGACTGTATGTGATCAAATTTGTATTAATAGTGACGTGTAGCTAGACATATATTAACAGTGATTGTTTATGGTAAACCTCATTACATAAAGTTTGTGACTATTGATATGTTACTTGTGACCCTTTGTGACAAAACTCTGTGTTATCTTAGATTGATTGTGACCAATAATTTGTTGAATCTGATTATGACGTGTTATCACAATTATTATCAAAAATTTTATTTGACCAGAAAACTAATCTAAATTAAAGACTTAGGTTACAATCAATCGTGAAAATATTTTATGGGTGAATTCATGAAATTTTGGCTAAATTGATTCGATTACAGAAACTTTGAGATTTGGATTCATCAATTGTAGGAAAATACAAGTGACGCTGATGAAGGTAAGAGTATAGTTGAAAAAATAACCGACTAAAAATGTACGTTTATTTTAAAGATTCTCTAACGATTAAATTTTAATTTTCTCCCAAAATTCTCCCTTTGCGCTCTCTCTAGACTTTCCTTTTTCTCTCTTCTTCAGATTCTTTGATGATTATAAATTTTAATTTTTTACCTAGAATTCTCTCTCTCTCTCCCCCCCCCCCCCCCTCTTTTTTTTTTTTTTTTTTTTTTTTTTT